TGTGTTTGGGGGGTCTAGGTGGAGAAAAGGGTCATATTTGTCATAAGGATATAGATGCTGAGCTCTTCACTGAGAACTTGTTTCTTCCTGGAAGATACAGCCTTCCTAGACTGAGTTAAAATAGTCAGCGTTGAAATTCATGATGATAAAAGTCTAAGAAAACTGGTCCCACAGCCAAGAAGATGAAGGAGTGTCTAGAGCTCATTTTTACATTCATTTTTTACATGTACGTCATTACACTCACATCATTTTACATCCTGATTTTGAATACATTCAGGGCTGAGTTGCCATGCTGAAGGAGGGTTTAAACGTTCTTTTTCCGAGTGGTCAGAGGCCTCAATCCTCACTTTCCTCTGTGAAGTCCCTCTTTTGTGTCCTTTACATATTGAGAAGTTGTTCACGGAGCAGAGAGTAGTTTTAGGGACTGAATTTAATTTTTATGCTGAACGAGCCACACATTGGTACACACTCAAGATCAGCTTGAAGCACCTGGGTAGCTATGATACTTTCTAAAAAGTAGAAAGTCACTGGCTTATACATTCATTAGAGAAGATTTAGAAAATACCGAAAATATGGGGGTAGAAATCATCCACAGTCCCATCTCCCTAAGAGAGTGGCTATAATCATTTAGGTCAGTTCTCAGTGGTGGGTGCAGTGTGGGAGTTTGACCCCCAGGGGACATTTGGCAATGTCTAGCCAAAGTTCTGGTTGTTGCAACTGGAGAAGGTGGGGATTGCTACCATATCTAGTGGGTAGGGACCAAGGATGCTGTCCAGCGTCCTGCAATGGGCAGAATAGATGCTCCACAACACCAAAAATCCAGGCCCGAATGTCAGTAGTGCCACTGCTGAGACATTTGATTTAGGCAGATTTCTTCCCATCTGTAAAAGTTAGTTTTTATTAGAAATAAAAAATGAATATTTCTTTTGGAAATTTTAAGAATGCTATAGAGTGGAATCCTAAGGCAGCATTATTATTATTATTTTAATTATTATTTTACTGCTGTCTTGAAAGTAAAAAAAAGTGTGTATATATGCGGAGGGAGCAAGGGGCATGTTAGCCATGTGGGTTAATGTTTAGTGAGAACTGTGAAAAGCATGTCGTCATGACCACATTGTGATTCTTCCAGTAGTCCCTTGAGATTGGGCATACTGGGGGCTGGCCCTTTGTCCTGGAATGACAGAAGTTTAGAGCTAGGAGGACTTTTTATCAGGGATGGTGAACAGGCTTCGTGTGGCACGTGGAAGGCAGCTGATGGCTGGGCTACTTAGAGTGTTAAGTTAGGGAGGACTCTCAGGCCAAGTGCGGGCTTAGCAGGAAAGGAGCATTGTGGTTGGTGAGGGATGTTCGTTCTGGACAATTGGAGTACTGCAACAGGTGGTATATATATTTACCATTCCTTAATCTAATTTAGTCTTACAACTTTACAAGTGTGAAACGACCTCGTTTGAGTCATCATGATTGAGGGCTGGGCCCTCAGACAGCAACTGGATGTTCTTAGTTTCTGGCTTGGGAACTTTCATTAAGGGATTCACCCTGAACAAGCCCGACATGATTCAGATGTGTAAATTGATTGCCACATTATTCTTTCCTTTTTGGAGATAACCTTTTCCAGCCATTGGAATGAGTAAGCACCCCAGGTAGAATCATCTCTGCTTCTTCTCATTTCCCCAAGTCAAGCCAAACAAAAGTCAAATGATTCATTCCAAAGTGATCCCTAAAGAGGGAAGTTGGATGTTACTTTCTTTAAAAAAAAAACAACATTCCCTCAGGCCTGATGAAATTGCAGTACATCACAGAACACCAGGACCTTCCTTGAATCTGTAATACTTCGAGTTCTTTGAATACACATGGACTAAACATTGTTTTGCTGATGCCCATTTTTTTGTTTGCTGACCCCCTTGTGACCTGAAGCAGCCTTTCTTCAGACATATTTATATCCCTCACTAAGCTTGCAGTAAACTCTCCCTTCCGAGTATCCTAGGAGGGTTCATCTCCTACTGGTTAATTTCATAAATCAATTCTAAGTCCTTCAGAGGCACTTCTCACACTTTAATTTATATATGAATCATGCTGCCAAAATGCAGATTTTAATTCTGTACATATGGTGGAGCCTGAGACTCTGCATTTTAAAAACTTCCAGGTGTTGCTGTCAGCCCAGGTGATGCCCCATGGATGGTCAGTGATGCTGACCGTTCAGTCCATGAGCCACAAGGTGAGGGGCAAGCACTTGGAGAAGTGCTCTGCATCACGGCCGATGTGCTTTCTCCTGACCTCAAACTTTTCTGATCTTCCTGAGGACTTTTAGTCCCCAAACCTCCTCTCCCTGCAGTTGTTGATCATCTCAGTGACAAGAAGGCAGGTGGTTGGCTGTGCTTCTGCAGAGGAAAATGTGTCCATGAGCGCTCAGACTCTCTCTGCAGAGAGTTCTGTTGAGCTGGTTGACTAGTGAGGCTGTTAGTTCTTCCAAGAATTCTGTCCCTTTCATTCTTTTAAAGAAATAATTCCGACTACTACAACACACAGGTAATACTGCATAGTATTCAAGAGCAGCTGCTTTTGCATTTTAAAAACGTAATTGGAAGTCAGGTCACGACTTTCAAAACCTAGAGAATTCATTCATCATTAACCCCCTTCTCCTTTTAGGACTTTGTCTTGCTTGTCTGCAAACAGGGCTGTGCTTGGGCGTCTCTGCGAAGTGCAGTCACAAGATAGGCCGACGCAACCAGCCACCAAAAATGTTGCAAGTTCGTGGAAGCACAGACTTGGTGACTTACATGCATGCATATTTACTCCACTGCCCAGCCTATGTATGATAGGTGCTCAGCTTTGCCAGTGTTCACTTGGTTTCAGTATAGCCACAAATGAAGAAAAAAAATTTCTAAGGAACTGACATTGAAACACAAAAATACTGAGCGGCCTCTGGATTCTCCTTTTAAAGATTTGTGATGTTTTTCACCACTAACTCGTATTACCTCACAGTTGTTTTATGTATCTGTCAATACTATTGAACACCTAGAGTAGAAATAACAGAATAATAGAAAATAATAGAAACACCAGAAAGAGTAATTTAAGGCTTTCTGCCAAGCTTTTTCTAAATGTAAAGGCAGCCATAGTCCATAACAATGTAGTTTAGAAATGGCTGATGTTATTGATGGTTTGCATACATGTCAAAAACCTTGGGAACATTACAAAAGAAAGTTAAAACCAAGTTGTCTTACAAATGCAGAAAACTGATTTAATTAAAAAGCAAGCAGTTCCAATAAAAGAAACAAGTTCTCTTTAGACCTGATACCTGTAGAAAAATTTCACATTAAGGCCAAAAGCATAACCAATCCCATCTTGATTTGCTGACCATTTATTTATCTTTGGAAGTAATAATAGAAACCATGTATGGGCTGGACTCTAATCCTATTGCTTGCTTTGTAGGATATCCAGATAGCCCTGCTTCGTCCAGTGCCTACATTTCCTGCTTATTCTTGGGGAAGGGAAATATGTCCCCTGCCTGTACAAATAAAATCGACACTATCTTTTATTTCTATTTCATTGTGTAGGGAATGTTTTGCCCAGATGCCACAATATCACTTTGTCTAGCAAACAGAGGAGTATGTCCAGAACTGGTGAGAAGCCACATTCTTCCTCCCACTAGAAGGGTTTCCTTTGACGGGGGTGAGGCAGCTGGGGCCCAGCCCCACCCAGATGTGAGCTTGCCTCCTTGTGCAGTTTGAAGGCATCTGCAGGCTTCATAAAAAATGTGGAGAAGGGATATTTCTTGGGCTTTCTTGGGATGAGGAGGAAGCAGGAAAAGTATTTGCCACTTTTCTAACTGTGGGCAACTCACACATGTAAAAATAAAGATAAGCCAGTACAATAAGTGCTGTGAAAAATGAATTCCATTTTAGTTTAAAATGTTTTCTCTAGTGTATACTTTTAAGTGTATTTTACTACAACTAAAAAAAAAAAGTATGTTCTCTCTATATTTTCCCTCCTGCTGAGTATTTTTTTTAACCCTAAAAGAAATTCTTATGGCATCTTGTTCCTCAGGATGATCCCTAGGTAAATTGATGGTGCCAAACTTTATATGGCCACTCATTTTCAACATTTTTTGAAAGATTGAAAATACTAGGAGCAGCAATCCACTCCTAGATATATATATATATATATACCTGTGGGTAAAATTGTAATGTTTCCAGAATATCTTGCCTGGCTTTAGTGCATTTGCATATCAACAGGCATTCCTAAGGGGTGAAGAAAAGTAGTTCATCTTCATATCAATGGGTAGTCACCTGGGCAACCAAGGGCTTATCTAAACCTGAGAGGTTGGGGGGAGGTCTTGCTTGCTTCTGCCTGAGCAGGAAAAAGACGGCCCCAGACTGCAGTTTTTAGCAATAAATGGGTTTTAAACTGTTTTTCCTTTTGACTGATTTCGGTTTTAGAGGTATTTTACCTCACCCTGGAGTTACAAAACCTGAGAGAAATGAACATTACGTCCATCTAAACACTTGTGCATAGTAGCCAAAAAGTGGAAACAATCCAAATGTCTATCAGCTAATGAATAGATAAATATACGGAGGAATATTATTTAACCACAAAAAGGAATGAAATTCTGACACATGCTACAGTATGGATGAGACTTGAAACTGTAATGCTAAGTGAAAGAAGCCAATTACAAAAGATCACATGTTGTGTGAGCTCATTTATATGAAATATCCAGAATAGGTAAACCTATAGAGACAAATATTAGATTGTCAGTTGCCTAGGGGCGGCGTGGGGTGGAGGAGGGACTTGCAGGAGTGGGGGGTGATACCTAACAAGAGCGAGGGTTCTTTTTTGAAGTAATGTTCTAAAATGGATTGTGCTGATGGTTGACAACTTTGTGAATATTTTGAAAGCTATTCTACAAATGGTGAGTTGTATGGTATATGAACTTAAGTTCATTTCCCAAGATCTCACCATGCCAGGAGTGACCATGTTGGATTTTAACATGTTGTCTTTTTCAGGGGTCGAGGTGCCACGTTATTATCATCTCCCTGTGAGTGGGATTGGCACCCCAGCTGTCCCTCCCGGCACAAGTACTCCACGAAGCACAGACTTGTGTTTGTGGACAGCCTGCTTGACCAGGTACTCGCTTTTTTTCTGTCATCAACCTGGTTACTGTCTGTCCTCCACCAAAAGCTGGATGTAAATTATATAACATCCAAGCGGTAGCTGACATTGTTTCTGATGTTGCTGATTAAGAGATTGTTCAATATCAAAGAACATTTCATTACAGTGACTTATTTACCAAAGAACAGAAACATCATACCTGCATTTAGGGTCTGAATTGAAAGATATAACTTTGCCATGGTTGGGAGAATGCTATTGAGGTCCTTTTAGACTTAAACACAGAAGTCCAACTCCTGTAGTTCAGAAAAAATGTCTAACAAGGTTTTTTGGTGTCTGGGGTTATAGGTCACATTTTCTCCCTTTCTTTGAGGTAGCAGAATTATATAATGGTGGTAAGCACTTTGCTGAAAATATAAAAGACGTCAGTTGCAATGGCTTCTGAAGATTAATTACGTATAAGCTTTCAGCAAAAGAGCTACCAGGGAGTGTTATCTATTTACTGATTCACTTTTAAGTATGAATTAAATCAGATTTACAAGGTATTAAGTTTTATTTTGACAGATGCTGGATGTATTTGTTCTTAGTTACACTTTAACCCCTAATTGTAGGCCAGTCCATTTAGCTGGAATGGGGTTGGAGTTTTTTTCATGTGCTTGTGTCATACTGCCTGTCTGTTTAAGCTCGCAGCCCCTGCCTGGGTGGATTCCAGCGACAGGTCAGAGCTGGAATTTTAGTGGAGTGTGAGTAGCACCCTACAGAAGAGCAGACAGCTGTTCAAGTCCCCTGCCTTACAAGTGTGTGATCTTGGGCACATGTCTTAATGTTTCTGAGTCTCCCTTCCTTACTCTGTGAAAAGGGGGCATTAACATGAAGCTAAATGAGTTCAAGTATAGCAAGAACAGGGTACATACCAAAGCCTCCTTTGGAGTCCAGTTGTCCAAATGGGGACACTCGAGTGGGGAAATCCTGTGTCCACTGAACCAACAGGGCTGGGAGTGTTTGTTTGTTTTTTTTAACCAAGATGTTCTCCATTGAGCTCTTAATGTTTTCAAACATAAGAGATGCTTGCCAAGAGTCCAGAAGTGGTTTTCCTAAAGCTTGATTTCTATTTAGGATCTATTGATTTAGTCAAATAAATTGGAGGGACAGCATGGAGTATGACAGAGGGGGATGAAGCTGTCATTGCCTATTGAAGGGAAGGCTCTTTGTGACCCAAGCAGGCCCCTGATGCCTTGAACTGGTGACCATAGGCTCTGTCACATCAGTTTTGTTTCCCAAGTGAATGCCTCACTCCCAAGTCTTTCATGTGTAAATTTGTAAACTTAGTTTTCTGTGATGAACTAGCCTCAGATGAGCCAGGGTGGTGAGGATTTTTCCCAGAAAGCATCCCACATCCCCTTAGTTTCAGATCCAGCAAACTTTTATTAAGAGCACTGGGCTAGGTGATTTTATTGGCCAGGCACTGGGCCAGGTGATTTCACCCATATTGCTTATCCTCAGAACAATCTTGAGAGGAAGGAATTACCAGCTCCCTTTTGTAAATAAATAAACTGAGAGTCAAAGATTTTGAAATAAATTTCCGCAGGTTGCACAGACCCTGACTCCTGACTTCAGTGAGTTTCTCACTGCTGACTTTATGAACTAAGTTATACCGACTCTACAGAAGTTGAAGAATTAACCCCTAAACTCAGAATTGTAAACAGGTTTTTCTCTGGGGCCAGTTCTGATCAACGGATAGTGGCTATCTGGAGTTAAGGAGTCGTAGGTGCTGCCCAAGTTTGACCAAGAATGCTGTGATCCATTAGCAATGTCTGGCAGCAGGGGAGGAGGGTCCCTGGAGAAGCAAGCCCTTGACCTGTGGTTTCTGATCTTCAGCCTCTGCCCCATTTGACCCACCTTTACCATCTTGGAGCTCCTCCAGAGAGCCCTATTTGCCCCATTCTTGTCTTTTGCTACTTTGATGAATCACCTTCCTGACTTGGCAAAATCATCTTTACCTCTTTGCTCTCAAGAAGGATCTTAGAGTCTGGAAAGAGCCTCACATGGCTTCTCATTGTTAGGCAGTCCTGACACTGTGCAGTTTCCATAGACTCATCCTATAGCATGGGCCTAGAAAAGTCTGAAGGTGAAAGCTTAAAACTTCTACTTCAGTGCACCTGGGAGCCCCTCAGTCCCATCTCCCCTAAGGGCTCCTCAGTGTAGAGGACTACCTGGGAACTCCCACCAGCAGCCAGACCTCCTCATGTTGAATTGCATAGACTCAGAGCAGTAGTTCTTGAGCTTTGGTGCACCAGAATCACCCAGAGGGCTTGTTAAAACAGATTTCTGGGTCCTACCCTATGGGTTTCTACTTCAGTCAGTGTGGGGTGAGGCCCAGGAATTTCCATTCCAAACAAGTTCCCAGCCAGGCCGTCCTGCTGGTTTCTGGACCACACTTTGAGAACCACTAACCTGGCAAGTACTAGACAGCTGGTTTAGAGCATAGGCTTGTTTTTAGATGGTGTGTGTGGCTAGCTTCCCTACATGTGGTGAGCAGCCATTTCCCCACACATTTATTGAGCATCTCACACAGCACTGCCTGAAGGAAACTGAGAGGAATATTAAGGTGCTCATCCTCTGGGGTATTTAGGTATCTAATTTGGAATGGGTAATTGCACTGCTGTGTGAGAAGTTCTGTCCTCACCCCATCCGCTGGATGTGAGCAGAAGGCCTGAGGCAGTGACTGAGGGTGGGAGGCCTCCTGGGGGAGGTGAAGTTTGAGAGGCAACCTCCGGATGAAAAGTTGTTGGCCTGGTGTGCAAAGGAGGGAGGGGAATTCGGGAGCAGAGGGCATACATCAAAGGGATGTGGAGTTGCTGTACTGGGCTGGAAGAAAAGTTAAGCTTATGGTGAGAATTCCCTTGGTAATTCCTGTATGAAGTGAAGAGTCAGCCTATCGTAAAAACAGTGAAAGCTTTATGTTTTGGGGGATGCTTATTATAATGTGGTTCGTGCTGTGCTAATTTTTAAAAAATTAATTTATAATTTTTTAATTAAGGTATCATTGATATACAATTTTCTGAAGGTTTCACATGAACAACATTGTGGTTTTGTGGTTTCAACATTCACCCATATTATCAACACCCCCCCACATCCCACTGCAGTCACTGCCCATCAGTGTAGTAAGATGCAATAGAGTCAGTACTTGTCTTCTCCATCTGTGCTAAATGTTTCACCTGTGTTATGGCATTTAATTCTCATACCTACCCTATGAGGTGTAGGACATAATCCCAATTTGTGTTGGTTTCCTAGGGCTGCAGTAACAAAGTACCTCAGACTGGGTGGCTTAAACAACAGAAATTTATTTTCTCACAGCTAAGGATGCTGGAAGTCTGAAATCAGGCTTTGGCAGGGTTGGTTCCTTGAGAGGTTTTATGAGGGAAAGATCTGTTTCACACCTCTCGCTGCAGCTTGCCTCTATAAGTGTCTGTCTCTGTGTCCAAAATTCCCCTCTTTATAAAAGACACCAGTCATGCTGGATTAGGGCCCACCCTAAAGATCTCACTTTAACTTAATTATCTCTGTAAACCCCTTAGCTCCAAATAAGGTCACATTCTGAGCTAATAGTAGTCCTTTAACATAAGAATTTTTCAGGGGGACCCACAATACAATTGGTAACACCATCTTACAGATGGAGGATCAGAAGCTTAGAGAATTTAGGTAAGCTGCCCAAATCACACAACCATTAGGCCACATCATACACAATTCCCATTTTTATAGGTCAAAAACAGTTAAATAGTGGCAGTGTCATAGATCAAACCTAAGGAGCAGCAGAACCAGTCCTTGTTGAAACCCAGGCCTGTGTGACTTCACAACTGTGCTCTTTCATCCAGCGCTTTACTGGCCTCTAGCATTTTTCTGTTGTTTTTGCCCTCTCTCTCCCTGTGGCTCACTGGGAAAAGCTGTGGTGCGATCAGGGAAACAAGCCGCTAGCCTATTGGTTTCTGGTCCTTGAGTTTCTGGATAAGATATCCTTATATTTTAGTTTTCTCTGTCTTTTATCTGTTTAAGGAGATTGTGGGAAATTATTAGAGAATATGAAACATTTAAAATTCATGAAAGAAAGGGGCTATATTTTTCAAGATGATTTGTTCTTTTTGCTATTAAAATGTTAAATACTTACAAATACACAGTTTATCAGAGTATGGATGTCCTAGTCTTAATTTCCTTCTCAAATCAGCCACAAAGTTTGTAAACAATGTGTTAACCTAATAAGGGATTACTCCTTAAATTTGTATTATAAGTGTATTTACTTGCAATTATTTCTGCATTCAGGGATTTAAACAGCTTAATTGGCAAGCCATAAAGATTTCAGACAGGTAGTTTTGGGAGTAGTCACACAATAATGGCATATATTTCTCTGTAAGTATTTAAGATGAGAGAACATTGCTCCAAATACTTATCTACAAAGACTTTGTCATTTTAGCAATTCAAGCAAACTTACATCAAGAGAAATTGGTATACAATTTAAGTGGGAGAAAAATAAAAATAAGAAGGGTTTATTCTTATTTTTTAATGCTTCAGTTACAGCCTAACGTGTTTTTCAAGCAAAAATTTGAGTACACAGTTTGCTCCTGAAATCAGCAAGACAAAGTGGTGGCCCATCTGGCCTATCTCTGGAAATCTGAGCTATCTAGGTATTTTAAGTAGAGCACATAGATGAGTACTTCTTAAGCTAGGCTCTGAAACATAAATTTAATTACACTTCTGCATATTTGAGAGAATCCAGAACCTAAGAATTCAAAGATGGCTAGGGGCTTACAAACCTAGAGTCCTCTCTCTCACTTTTCACAACCAAATTTCTTAAGAGGATTCTCTATACTTAACTGTTTTCCTTACCACCACCTGCCCTTCTTTTCTTCTTCATCTATTCCAGCCACTGAGGGGTCCTGTAACTGAGGGGTCAGATGCCATATAGGCAGGGCACTACACTGCTGGTGGAACTGTACGTGGGGAAGGGTCTTCCCTAGATGGTA